GAGATGGTTTGGGGTGAGCTGGACCGCAGAGTGAAGGCAAAGGGGCCAACAAGTGCTAAACACCTCTGGGAACTCCTTCAAGACTGTTGGAAAACCATTTCAGGTGACTACCTCTTGAAGCTCATGGAGAGAATGCCAAGAGTGTGCAAAGCAGTAATCAGAGCAAAGGGTGGCTATTTTGAAGAAACTAGAATATAAAACATGTTTTCAGTTATTTCACCTTTTTTTGTTAAGTACATAACTCCACATGTGTTCATTCATAGTTTTGATGCCTTCAGTGAGAATCTACAATGTAAATAGTCATGAAAATAAAGAAAACGCATTGAATCAGAAGGTGCGTCCAAACTTTTGGCCTGTACTGCATATATATATATATATATATATACATGTAATATACTATTCTACATACTATGTATAGTATGCGTATAGTGTGCTAACAAAAAGTCATAGTAGAGTATGTCAAAAAAATAAGAAAAATGGTCACAGTATAGTTTGTTAAAAAAAAAAGTTATAGTACAGTAAGTGATGGTATAGTATGTCATGAAAATAAAAAAGTCAGTATAGTATGTCACAAAAATCAGAAAAATGGTCACAGTACAGTATGTTAAAAAAAAGTCAGAATATAGTATGTTATAAAAAAATGTCATAATATATTATCTGAAAAAGAGTCATAATATAGTATGTCATTACAATGTCATGAAAAAGTCATTGTATAGTATGTCATAAAAATGAACATTAAAATAAACTTTACAGGTACATGTGATGAATTAGTGGTATGGATGCTATGAATAGCCACAGCTGAGTGTAGCAGTTTCACAATCACAGCGGTATTAGTGTTGTTGAGGAACCCTTAATGATGCAACACAGTCATTGAAATTAAATTTTTCTTTGCTGTTCTTCTTATTGACAGGTCTAATGAGAGGTGGAGCCTCCTCATCGAGGCTACACTTATTTCCTTCCAACACAGAGCAGTAACATTACGCCTCATGGTTATTTCCAGAGATTGGCTCTATTCTTGGTTCAAATCTAGCAAGACTTCATAAATAAACTAAAATGAATTCCATCACACACCAACACAACGGTGAAATGTATGCAAACTCAAGCAAATACTGAAAAAAGCTTTAAGGCCCTTAAATACTTTTCAAGGGCCTTAATTGCTGCTAAAATGTTTATCAACTTTAATATTTTGAAGACCCTGTAACAATTGCTAAAATATTATCTAAAAGGTCAAATCATACACTTTACATAAAGCGTATCATCTTTTTGTGTGTGCATTTGGGGGGACTCATAACCTCAGTATCTCTAAAATCAGCCCTGCAACTGAGATATAATTAGCACAGAAAACCATACAATCAGCAACAATCTGAGAGAAAAATGAGTCCCCATTTTCATTTTTTTGATTGGACAGCTGTGCCTACCTTTGCAATCCTCTTCTCTTTGGACTTCCTGAAGTAGAGCGCAGGAAGCCCCAGCTCGGAGGCAGCGATCCACTGCAGGGCCACTCTCAGCTCTGAGTCCACACACTCAGGCTCAAGGTCACAGTTGACCACCAACAGCACCCTGAGGTTGCTACTGCCACCTGCCGTCCTTGCCGAACTGCTCTCTGAAAAATCAAAGGTGACAGGAATGCACTACTGCTTTTGCTTTGTTTTTCTTGTGAAGCATCAAGTGTGACTACAACTGAATTCTTTGTTCCCACATAACACACCTTAAATGTTAACCATGCTGTCTGCACCATTAAAGCACTGTATTAATGCAACGTGCCAAACCTTTGCAGTTTCATAAAACAGAAACATCCTGGGCTCAGTTTTGCTTAAGATAATCTTTGTTGAAGTGCAAGTCATTAAACAAATATGAACTTTGTGTTGAGACACTTCTGGAACGATGGGCCCTTTTCAATTATTGATGAACATCTTTAATTCAGAGAGGAGAATCGCCTCCATTCAAGCACATCCATTTGAGGGATTAATCACAGACCCAGCACATACTGTAGGTTGAGTCACTCAACAGCTTTTGGTTAGTAGAGATGTTAAAGCTGACGAATAAGGTGAATAATTTAGGAGTTGATAACACTGAGATGACATGAGAATCCATCACGACACTTACCGAAGACATTTTCCTTTGTTCCTGCTTGATGCTCTTTTTCTGTCTCCTCACTGTGAGAGAAAACAGTACCAATTGTAGGTTACAGTAATACATAATGTCACTTCAAGGAGTCATTCAACATCTTGGGAGCTTATTCACTTTTTTGCCAACAGCTAGATGAAAAAATCAGCGCCACTTTTATGTCTGCATTGTGAATAAGAAACCAACAGTTAGTTAGCTTAGCTTAGCTTAGCATAAACTGGAAACAGAAGTCCCGGACAGAATAATTTTCATCCATCCATTTTCTAACCGCGTATCCTCTTGAGGGTCGTGGAGGGGCTGGAGTCTATCCCAGCTGACATTGGGTGAGAGGCAGGGTACACCCTGGACAGGTCACCAGATTATCACAGGGCTGACGCATAGAGACAGACAACCATTCACACTCACATTCACACCTACGGACAATTTAGAGTCACCAATTAACCTGCATGTCTTTGGACTGTGGGAGGAAGCCGGAGTACCCGGAGAAAACCCTCGCTGACAGGGGGAGAACATGCAAACTCCACACAGAAGGGCTCCCGCACCAGGGATCGAACCAGAAATCTTCTTGCTGTGAGGCGACAGTGCTAACCACCACACCACCATGCCGCCATGAACAATTTTCAATACCGACAAAAATATAGATGCTCATCTTTCTATTAAACTCATATGGAAAGGCTGTATTGAGAATGTATTGTATGTAGTGCACACAACATACGACCAGAGGTTATCTCTACAGGTGGACCAACCAGCTGAGCTGAAAAACGTGGCTAATATGAGTGGTGGGGATAACGTTACAGGACTGTAAAGAACCCACAATGGCAGAGAAAGCACCGGGCAAACAACATATTTTTTACATCTAACCTGGTGAATTAAGGGTTTATTGCGAACAAATCATAGCTGGTGATTGTTAGAGCAGTGTACTACTTCAGGGGGTGCAGCCGGCTGCGCTTGCATGAGAAGTACTAAATGTAGAAATATCCCATGGAGAGTGTCTCTCACTGCAGACTGTTCTGTTTTGTTCTGAAAATGTTGGCGTGCAGCCTCGTTCTGCGGACGATAAACAAAGTACAGACGTTCTACAGTGATGAGGAAATACAGTGAGTGCTGGATGGAGCAGTGAGTGACAACACCACCACCCACATTTAAGGGTACTCTTTGTGGTGGAAACGCTAGAGTCTAGGTGCAATGTCTGAAGAGTTACTTCTGGTTCCAAAGGTACAATACTGACAGTGTTTGGTGGAAACAGGGCTTCAGTTTGATGACAGAAAGTTCAAAAGGTGTTGTATTTCTCTGTTTATTCAGATAAATAGGTGTAAGAATCTTTCCTTTTATGGCATTTCTTTTTATTTATTAGACTGAAAAAGCTACAGCCCCTTTTACACTAACAGATTTTTGGCGAATGTTGGGCTGTTTTGCAGGCAAGCTGCGGGCATTCAGACGCACAGAGATTGCCGAGTTGATCCGAGGTACCCAATTTTCCGCCTCGTAGGGTAGACATAACGAGGTGCCCTTCCGCCACGGGAGGGGCTGTTGATGACTTGTGGGAGGAGCTGCTGATGACGCCGCATGTGCGACCCACTGGCGGTGGACTAACAGGAAACAGCTGATAGCAGGAATGAGCAGCTAGTAGCAAGAGGGAAACACAAACCTGACAGACACTGTAAAGATGAGCAACTGGGGAGACAAGGAATTGCGCACCCTCCTTGCCCTTGCAAAGGAAGAGGCCATTAACTGTCAGATGACAAGAACGGTGAAGGAAGGGCCAACTTATGAGAATCGCCGAAGGACTGACCAGCCGCGGCTTCCCTCGGAGTACGAAACTGTTTACGTCACACACTGAGCTACACGTTTTGTTACTTGCTCACGCCCCCCATTGCCCTGAAAAAGGCGCATTTTGCTGCACTCCCCGATTTTGTTTTTATACTGCCAATGCTCAACGAAGACTGATTGGGCTTTCCTGCAAATTTGCACAATTCCTATTTAAAAAGGGCTACTGAGAGCTTTTGGAACACAGCAAAATTGCCGGTCAGGGGTGGGTGGTTGGATGGTTGAAGGGTGTGCAGGTATGAGGCATCGCACACAAATACTGTCATATAGGGTATACCCCTGTGAAATCTCAGGAAGACATGAAGATATACAAAAAAAAAAGATAATACGCAAGCGTAATGAGCATGTTCCCAAAAATGCCGCACTGTTCCTTTAATGTAAGCATATATAATACACTGCTAACCTGTGGTGTTTTATATGTTACAGTTGAGATGGATATCTAGATAGAAGAGATGAAATACAGCAGACTGGAGCAGATTTTATGTCTATTAAACTGCACATTATTATGTGTGCTAGAATGACAAGTATGTAATTAGCTATACCATCAATCACAAGTTATTTGCATGAGAATTAGTCCAGCAGCCTGTCATGGTCACACGACACCGGATTGCTGTGTAGGTGAGAAAATAAGAAAAAGCAATTTCCCATCCACTGATTTTCTGTCTTATTAGAAAAAAATGTCATTATGGGTATCAGAGAGACATATTAATGAGAAATATTTCAGCACCTATGACAGTGACAGTTACCTGATTACTGTGCTCTGAGTGGGCATGTCAGAAAAAGCATCCAGGTCTGCCAGGCCTACGCTGGATGCGCTGCTGGTTCCGTTCCTGTTAACCAATAAAAAACACAACAGATAGCGTCATTCACATGTTGTCTCGAGACATCCAACATGATCGTTGACTTGTGAAGAGAACAATAACCAGGCGCAGCGATGCAGGTCATGTTGTTCATTAGCTGGTGATTAACATATAAATAGCAGCTGCAGCGGAGTCGGACGCTCAAGGCGGGAGAGCTGGTGATTTTTTGTCCAGCAGCAAGCCTGTCTGGATATGAAGATGAGGAGATCTGGAGGCAGTTTAGGCGGGTAGGGGTGGACAGGCAGGGCAGGCAGCCGTGCCCTCGTGTCACAACATGGATCGGGGAATGAGGTGAAGTTAAAGTAAGCAGGTAGATGGAAAGGTTGCGAGGAGCAGCGAGTGTTATGGTGGTGCAGACAACTACTACTGCAGTTAATTAAGCAGAGGGCAAGTATCCTACATCACTGCCACAGTGAAGAGCTTCCCCTTTCCTCTCTTATCCACACATATCAGTGTCTTTAGACATAAATGCATTTTAATATGCAGGTTAATAATGCTTACATTGGTGTTTAAAATATCATGGATCCATAATCATAGCATTTACATTGTTTTAAGGCAAATTAAAGCAGGGCCATTTCTACTGTTAGCTTATTGTAAGCACAGAGCAGTGACTCAAAGTTGAAAAAGTTGGTGTGGTTGGCTCAAACGAATGAGAATTTGATGAAGCAGAAAATGGTGTAGCAAATGTTTTGAACTAGAGGCTTTTGATGTAAGAGGTCACAGTCTCATACCACTGCAGCCTACTACTGCAGGTAGTTGTGTGTGGGGGTGCAGGCAGGGTCTAGCCCTGTGTGCGAGCTATGGAGAGGGCTTTGTGGAGTGAGCTCTCTGCCATACACCGCCTCAGCAGGCGTGGATATTGCAGCAGCAGGGAGTACATTGGCATTGGCACAAGAGAGCACAAGTGTCAGTAGCAATGGGCCAATGAGAGTGGGGTGAGGGTGGGAGCAGCAGCGTTTGGAGCAGTATCAAGGAGCAACGGTTACTGACCCCTCGCTCAGCTGGATAAAACTACTGGTCTCCTCGTGGGGGTCATCCTCGGGGGTTATATGGGACCAGCTCCCCATGCTCTCTTCACTGCTAGCACTCATAGAACGCTTGTCGCTCTTCACTACTGCAGCCACCGCCACAGCTGGCCTGTCCCTCTCACTGCTGGGGAGAGCAAATCGCAAGATGGTGGGAATGCCCATCGAATAGTTGTGCACAATGTCTGCTGCAATGTGTGGTTGCTTTGGCTGTTTTCCCAGTGTCATTCCTCTGTTCACCATTCATGTCAACACTTGAGTTTTCTAAAATGCATTTTAAGAAGTGAAGGCACTATCGGGACAGTTGCGGCTCTAAAAAATGATACATACATACAATACAGTACAGTAACTTCAAACAAATGACAAGCCTTTGGACTTTAAAATAACTACGCACCACATAGAAGACAGCTAATTCATTTCAATATCTTTAATGCATCCGCAAACTGCACTCCCTAGCGACACGGTTGGATTTTCAGTGTTTCTCAGGAAACTGATTAAATTAAGTCATAATCAGATGATTGAGGGCTGCCATCCTCGACAATTCCAGAGGGAAATCAGGTTTTATTGACTAGGCGAGTGATTGAGTTCCACTCTCACACAAGGGACAAACAGATGCACTCCACTTGTTCCTGGATTACATGTATTGTAAAGTGTAGAGGAGCGTGTCTTGTGACTCTCCTGAGGCCCGGGAGCCTTTCAGCTGTTTTCCTCTCATTCACTATTAAACAAGTCTTATTTTGAGGGTCTGAATGTCTTTCAAACACTCCGTAAAAGACCAGCTGATTTCCTGTATATGGATATTATATTTTCACTTCCCTCTGTGTACCTATCTTGAACATTAGCAGCTCTTTCCACTTATACATTTTCAGCTGGTTCATTTGGTTCCAGCCTGAGACACACTATGAACCGCTCCAGTCTTCATTACCCCCAGAATATCCACTAAAATGTCTTCTGGGAGAGTCTACGCTCTCCTGCTCTCTCCAAAAGGCCACTTTGAGTCTTTGGAATTAGAGTGATTTTTGCCACCTTGCCTGTCTTGCTAAAATGTCAGTCCACTTTAAATTAGATACGTAAGACCAAAAATGTGTAATATGGTATGGTATTCCAAATGAACTGACTCCATATAAACACTGTTCTTCAGCTAACCTGCTGCCAAACTACTTCCCTCAAGCAAGCTTTAATCTGAAGTGACACACAAATTCTTTGGTATTTAAGTTGTGTCGATGTAATCTAAACACCCATTGAGTGTCTTGTGGTTTTAGTGGGTAAGCCAAGTGTGAGTGCAGCTTGTACTGATCAAGGTGAGTCAAACAGCCCCGCAGTAGATAAAAGATGAAGCCACTAAAAGCTTTCTGCACACACAGTTCATCACCCAGACAGCGTGAGTCACAGTCTAGCCAAAGGTTTGTCAAACCTCACACACCGCTAAAATAGATCACTTTTCACAGTGAATAGATCGTCTGTGTACCTGCCACTCTTTGATCAGAAAATCTCTAAAAACAGCTTGGACAGTTGGAGGGCCTGGACTTCATTTGTTTATAATTTTCTTAGACAGCCTTTAATGTTTACCTCAAGAATAACCATGTGATTTCTCATTCCTCACTCTTACTCTTGTCAGACAGATTAATCTCTACTTTTCATCTACAGTATTTTTCTAGTGCTGGGCTATAAAAAAGTTTCTGCCTAAAGGAGAGGTCTGACTCTCACACAGAACAACTGAGAAGATTGTACTACCTGCTGCAGTTGGCTGTAGTTCTCTCTGTACGCTTGGTAGCTGACATTTCTGGGGTTGTTTCCTGAGGTCCTCCTCCTGTCCTTAAATGAGTCTCTTCTTCTCTCTGATCTCCCTCGATGTGGATCAGTGGCACATCTCTGGGGCCCCTCATGCAGGGTGCACTGCTGTCACCAGACCCTATTCCAATACCAGTTTGCTCCTGGCTCGACCTACTCCGACTACAGCTTAGATGTGATTGCTTGAACCCCCTCCTTCTTTCACCAACAGGCATGTGCGGCTGTGGGAGCGACCCAGATGCACCCCCAGTTACATCTTGCTGGCCCCCCAAAGCAGACTTGCCAATATCTACAATGTCAGCTGCCAGACGATTGGCAAACTGCTGCACATGGGGCTGGGAGTCTCCTGCAGCCTCCAGCTCAATACTGTCCTCTGGATCGGCAATGATCTTGTTCTTTCTCATCAAAGACTCAATGGAGCTTGACCAGGTCTCATGAATCAGCATATCAGTAATTTGGTCAGTCTTGCCTCTTTGATAGAGACAGGAGTCTGACTTACACAGTCCTGTGGCTGACACTGAGTTGGTGGGGAAGATATTCAGCGTGTCTCCATGCACATTGCGGGCAAATCCGTCAAAAGAGTTGGCTTTAATGGGTGAGTTGACAGTCAGTCGAGAGTCTGAGGAGCGCCGGTCTGGGACAGAGGACTGTCGTATACAGAAGGGTGTTCTTGGAGAAGGGGGGAACAGGCTGTTGCTCCACTCTTTAGTCTTGGCGATGCCATACTCTCTGTTTTCCTTGTCCATGTCCTGAAGCATAAACCTGTAGAACTCCTCTGTGATGCTCTCCGTACTAGACTGTTTGGACAAGCAGGATGAGGCCCTGACATTAAGGTGACCATTCTTCTTTGATGCAGCCTGTTGTACAGCTGCAGTCAGAATGCTGCTGGCATTTTTTCCTGCGTAGTAGTCTAGCAGAAGGTCAAAGCCCCTGCCCTCTGTCTCCATCTGGTTTACCATGAACCGTGAGAACTCGTCTGTGATGCTCTCACAGCTGGACTGCTTAGAGATTGAGCTACCACGGCTCAAGTTCTGACCTAACCGACTGCCGAGGCCCAGTGTGTTGGGTGTGCCTGAGGGGTCTGGATCTTCTTCTGGAATGCTCTCATAACTAGATGCTTTCCCACGGCTCCACCTCTCACACTGCAACCTGCTTCGTGGTTGGCCTGTTTTGGAGGTATCCACCACATTAAGCTCAGGGCAGTTCATGATCCTGGCCGTGACTTCAGAGGCAAAAAGGGCAAATGGGTCCTGCGGCTCATCTAGGTTTACAGATTCGTCCACCACCCGGTTCACCAGCCGCTCCATCAATTCTGGTTGCTCCTCAGTTTTCCTCTTAATCTCACTGAGGCGTGGGGCACGGTGTTTCTTAGAGGCAGCACTGCTGGCCTGAGCCTCTTTCCTCCTGAGGACTGTGCGGCAAGCAGGGAGCAAGTAGGCTTCTGGCCCTTCAGCAGACGTCCCTTTTAGGGAACAGAACCAGGGTTGTTTCCCAGTGTTGTTTTCCAGGCAGATAGCTGCCAATTCTGTGGCCATAGATACCACTGTAGCAGCCAAATCGTCAGCATAGCAAGTAATCGGTGTCCTGGACTCTGAATCCATTCTCCAAGAAAGCAGAGAACTGCATGAGTTTAGGGAGGACTGGGGTGTGAGGGAGGCCTGTCTGCTGTCACTGCCGGTCACTAATCGCCCCCTCCTGTCTGTGCTATGAACTTGGATTTCACTCAAGGGTTCTCTGATGGCACCACTGCCCTGCTGGATCTGCTGGTGGTCAGAGTAGTCTTTGGCAGGCAAGGAGGTGGATTTAGACTGACTTTGTCTTTGCTCTCTGCTGTGTGCTGTGGAGGAAGATGCAATGAGATCACTTTCCTCAAGCGCATATTTCTCCTTCAGCCCAGGAGCCATGGTAAGCTTATTAGTGCAGTGTAGTATGCCGCTGTGGCTCTCACTATTAGTGGACTGACCATGGCCGACTAAGCACTGTAACTGACTTAATGGATCCTTGCTCTCCTTGGTGGTAGCAGGCTCCCTAGCACAAGTATCACCCTCTTGAGTCTCAAATGACCCTTGGTCACACTGAGAGATGTGACTGATTTTCTTTTGTGTCAGACAAAGGATATCAAACAGCAAAGTGTTAACACTGTCCTGCAGAAACACTTGAAGTCCTGGAGTATCTTTTCCAGTACCCTCCAGTTCTTTTTTCTTTTTTGCTTTCTCTAAAGCATGCTTGAATAGGCTGTCTGCCACCTCATTTATTAGGTCATCCACCTCTCTTTCATCCATGTAGGACTTTTTTGGACAAGTAATGCCATCTACTATCTTGTTATGAGTTGCCTCCAGCAGGTGGGCTACACTCCTGTAGCCTTGCGGCTGAGTCAGCACCTCAGCTGCTTCCCTGTGTAGCACCTCTGCAATGTTGGCACGAAATGCTTCAACACTGGTACCTTCTGCCACACTGCAGTGCAGCGTGATGGCTGCAGAGGCTTCGGCAGCAGACATCAGACCACAGGACGCTGTGTAGGCTTCAGCAGAATCGGCATCAGAATCAGCACACTCCCCTGACTCCTCTGTTAGCTCCACAGCGGCTACAGCACCAGCTACCTGAGCCATGCCACATATAGCTGAAGAGAAGGAGTAGTCACTTCTCTCCTCTGGTTCCTGCAGGTCCTCCTCCGTGTCTTCCTCTGAGGCTGAATCCATGGCAAGCTGCTCTGTCAGCTGTGGGTTGGTAATGGTGCCAATGACACTGGCTGCACAGGCCAAAGCCACCTCTACGTGTTTAGACGGGTATCCACCATTGTGGTGGGGGACGTGAGCCTGTGTCCCATTCTCTGGCATCTCTCTGGCTTTGGCAGTGATATCCTGGTCAGGCACATGAGACACGTGGGTCTCTGGCCATTCTGCAGCCCCATCAGAACTGTCTGGGCTTTGAACAATGACAATCTTGGGGAGTTCAAAAGAGCAGGTGCGCTGCTGGGAAGGCTGTTTGGTCTTTGAAGGACCAGTAGCGCTGGAAGGACGACTAGACAGGGACACACTGACAGCAGCCTCAGAGACAAAAGAGGTTTCGTCTTGAGAGAGGCGTATGAAGGCATCTTGCAGTACAGACTCGGCCAGATTTGTGGCATAGTGACCAGCTGATTCCTTAGTATGGAGGCTTGCCTGCCGATGCCCTTCCCTTTTCACCTCACCATCCTCCCTGCTCTGATGATGGGCCAGCTGTCCCCTCTGACAGGCAAGTCTGACACAGTGTTTCTGTGCAACCTCCGCCAAGCTCTCTGCCAGGTCACCACTCTCTGGTTCTGTGAAGAGACAGAGAAAAACAGAGAGAGACAGGGAGTGAAACATGTTCGCACTGATTAGAAAGCAGCTCCATCAGTTTCCTAAGTGTCGCAGCAAGAGTAGGACATTACCCTGTTTTACCCCTCACTGAATAGTGGAGCCGAGTTATGTCTTGTTTGTTCCATTCAATTTCCCCTTGGACAAAAGTCAAGAGAATTATTTCCATCTAACATTTCATTCATCACTGGGGAAACACAAAAGCAATAAATACATTCTTTCTTGTGTTATACATTTTCAATGGGTATAGAAATCTTCCAGTGCTTGCTGCACAACTGCCTCTGTAATGTTGCTGCAAATCCAGGAGGAAATGAAGGATTAATTCAATTTAATATTTCTTTTTTAAACTTGATGTCTGATCAATAAAGACAAATGCAATATAACATACTGAGTTTTAGTTAAATGTCAGCAATAATGTCAGAGTACTCAACATATTTTTTAACTTTGTCAATGTTACTTTTCACCTTTCATCTTACTTTGCACTAAAAGTATATTGCTGGCCTTTAAATTCTACAGTGTCTATGTGTGAGGAGTGATTTAATAGGACTATCACTTCCACTTTTATATCATCTGATAGGCTAAGACCTAACAAACAATGAGCCAATCATGCCTCAACACTACAAACATTGTAAACACAGCTGTTATTAGAATAAAGCTCTATTGTTATGAATGGGGATGATGGTGGTGACTTTAAAATCAGGATCAAACTTTTAGGTTCTCATTTTTCTTAGTTGCTCAAGAAAGATCAAAACATGTTTTGGAACAGCCACTTCATGTTGCACAGTATGTGGTTAAAATTTTCTGTCAGGTTTTGAATGGACAGCATGCTGACTCAAGCTGCAAGTGAATGCAAATGTATCACAGGAACACTGTGAGGTTTTTTTGCTACACAGGAGTTGAAATACCCGACCAACAAACGTGGCTGAAAAGAAAAACCTCTATGGTGGAGGTAATAAAGCTCACCATTTCTGAAACCGTCGTCCTCGCTGTCATCCCCAAGGTGTTCTGAGGCAGTCAGGAAGTCTTCTTCTATGGACGAGATGGAGCGATTGGTGTCGTCATCAAGCCGCTGCCTGGCTGCTCGGCCCTGCTGAAGCTGTCGTTCCTTCCCCCACTGGAGACCAATCAGGAACTTGTTGATCTCAAAGATGATGTTGCCAGGTTGGGTGGAGCGTCTCTGCCCTGAACACTGAACCAGGCACACACCTGTACTTCTCTGCTGCTGCTGCCCGCCCTGAATGGAACATGTACAGATACCTTTTATGCATGTGCACACAGAGACACATACATACATACATACACATCATAAAGTTCTACATGCATACACCACTTGACTGTAGATACAGTCACAAAATATAAGATATATTATAAAAATCTTAAACCTTTGGACTCAGTGAATTTATGTTGCTCTCATGCCTGTTTTCTTTTCCTTTCCTTTTCTTCAATAACTCATTGAATCTGCTCATGCAAGTTTAATTGTCTGTGCAGGCTCCTCGGGCCATTTATTGATTCAAACAGTGTTTTTTTTTTTTTGTTTTGTTTTGTTTTTAATACTTGTCTGCATTGGTCTTCATAGCTTAGCGCCACTAAAGGGTGTAAGCTTCTTGTGAAGATTGATGCACTGTTAATCTTGCAGTCAAGTATTTAATACCCATAATGCGTGGTTGTGACCGTCACCCACCCTACCTGGAGACTAGCCTATCAGCCTTTATTGGAAAAACTTCCTAATATGAGTCAGAGAGGGCCGTGATACACCAAAGTGTGTCAGGGGGAAAGTAAGGAAACAAGCAAGGGGGAGGGGGCAGGTGCTTAAGTCCTGAGTTATATAGTGACAGTGCATGCGGAGAAGAAGGAGGAAAAACAAACAAATAAACAAACAAACGAAAAAAAAAACAGGGGAGAAACAGGCAGTGTAGCTGATGTATTGTGGCCTTGAGGTGGTTGTGCTCCATGCAGATTATCAAAAATAAACATATACATGTCTACTATACTGTACTGAAAAACAAAAACAAAAGAGAAGTCTATACTGAACACCAAAAATGTGAGAGTCTTGGTGGAGGGGGAAAGCCCGATTGCAGAGAAGAGTTGCCAGCGCGGTGTGGTAGGTTTGAGAAGCAAGTGGGCCCCTTTGGAGTGATCCCATCGGTTCTTTGCGATGCGTCACGGAGCTGAAGTATCGAACATGCATGCGTGTATTTGAACCCTCCCAATGTGTTTATGAAAACCATCACCAGGGTCCAGGGCCAGCCCTGCGGGGGAAGGGGGGCGGTATGGCACCCCAAGACCGCAGGAGCGCCCAGACCCCAAGACCAGGGAGCCGCAGAGGCCGCAGGACACCACGCAGGCCCAAGGACCCAGGGCGGCGAAGGCCGGCACCCCCAGAGAGCCAGAGACACACCCCAGACAGGCGGGGCAGGAGGGCCCGCCCACCCACCGCCCGACGCGGACCGCCCCCACCCCCCCCAACCACCCGCCCGCCCCCACCCACGGACGCACCCAGGGACCGCCCCCGACCCAAGGAGCCAGGCGCGGGGGCCCGGCACCGCCCCCAGGGAGAGAACCAGCACCGCACCGGACGGGCCCGCACCAGGCGCCGGCCACCAGCAGACGCCGGACCGGACAGTAATGAGAGCCCACCCAGGCCCGGGCGGACGAGGGAGGCAAGGAGGCGGTGATACTGCAAGGCATATGTCCCCGGCGCATCGGGAACCAGGGGACCGCGAAGGGCCACCCGCCCGAACCCCCCAGGACGGGCCCCCACCAACACACAGGAGAGAGCGGACCGCCACGAGCAGTCAATCCCCCATCGGGACCCCATAGCAGAGGGCCCATAAACCACAGCCGGTCAGGAGGCAGAACCCCGGCAGGAACCCACAGAGCCCCCAGGGCGCCACCCGGCCCACCCGCCACAGGGCCACGGGACCCCCCAGACACCGGGAACCCAGCCAAACCACCATGATGTAAATGGGCTCCCTGGCTCCAACCCTCAGCCCAGGAGGGCCGGGCCCCACTAGCCACGCCATGCGTATCTACAGTGTGTGTAAACCCACCACCCCCCCTCTTACTATGATTCTCCGATCCCTGACGGAGAAACATTAACCCTACACCGTGAATGTGAATGTGAGTGCCCATAAGTGTGATGTGGTGCATTAAAATTGAGGGACATAGGAGACAGGTGGGGGCAAGGCTGATGGCTACAGCACACTGCTGTCCTGCAGCCCGTGCAGCCATAAGGCACCTGGAACCTGTTCCCATCTGTCCCCCAAGATGTAGGTGTATGTGGTGCTTTAAAATTGGAGAACAGATAAGGATGGGCCGGGGGGCAGCATGGAGGGCTACCGGACACCACTGTCCCATAGCCTGCCCCATTATGAAGCCCCCCAATCCATCCGTGGTCTGCACCTCGAAGAGTGAGTGTATGTGGTGCATTAAAACTGTGCAATGTGTGGTGAGTGAACTAAATGTGGTTTAGGAGGCCAGGCCAGTGTAGGCCCGGCCCGAGGGCTGGAGGGATGGATGGGAGGGGCTAGGAGGTGGCGCCAACCAGACCCCGGCGCCGCGAGGCCCCCAGCGCCCATGGACAGCGGGCCAGGCGGGCCCCAAGGAAACCCAACGGGCCCCCACCTAACCCCGCCCCCCTGGCAACTGCAGCGTCGGGCCCCCGCAGTGGTCCCGACCTGGGCCACACCGCCCGCAGCAAATCGGCCCCCAGCAGAAGGACAAGGCGCGCCACCAGGGTGCACGGACGACGGGCCCCACCCAGCCCCCCCGAACCCCGACGCGCAGGAGCACAGACCAACCCGCAACCCCGCCAGTACCCCCCCAGACCGCCACAGACCCAAAGCCGGACCCCCAGCCCATCCGACCTGCCCCCCACCGGCGGCCGCACACCAACGGGCAGGCCCACACTGTGCAGCACCAGAACACCCCCCGCGGGCAGCACCCAGCCCCCACGCCAGACCCCGCAACCCAGGGGAGGACCCCGGGCCCACCCGAGGCCGGGAGAGAGGAGCAGGGAGGGACGGGGAGAGGGGGGAGGGAGGAGGGAGGGGGAAGGGCAGGAGCGGAGCGAAGGGGGGGGGAGGAGGAGCCCACCCACCCCGCACCACCAGGGGCGGAAACAGCCCCCCAGGGGGGACCGGCCACGCCGCCCCAGGCCCAGGGAGCACGAGGAGACCCCGCCCCCCCCAGGCACACAGGGCGAGCAGTCCAGACGCACCCGCCCCCAGGGGAAACCGCCTGGCCCCGCAATCCCCCACAGAGCCAGGGAGCAGGCCCGGATTCAAGGGGAAGAAGGTGCACCTAACACATGCTTAAGACCTTGAGTTCTGATGAACCGCTGTGGTGTATTGTGGTGAGAGAGATAGAGGGATTAGGGGTTACATCATTAACAGAAACACGTTACATATTACACAACAGTCTTTCTTGAGTTGTAATATTTATATGTACAGGTGGCATATGCTCACAGGCTGAGTGGCACTATACAGACACGTTTAGTGAGTGAATAAATGGTGACCATTTTTCTGTAAAGTATGTTAATTGGTTTCTGTGGCCAGCAGATATTTTCTCCAGCGAAATATGTTCTACAAGGAGATTCAGCCAATGGTTGATGTTGAGGGTCTGTTTATCTTTCCAGTTGACTAGGATTGTTTTCTTGGCGATGGCGAGAGCTACAAGAAGAGAGTTGCAGTGGCTGTTTGGGAGGTCAATTGTCATCAGGTCACCAATTAAGCACAGGTTGGGAGATAATGGGATCCTGCAGTCCAAAATGGAGGAGAGTTTTTGGGTGACTGTAGACCAGAAGTGCTGGACGGGTGAACATAACCAGAGTGCATGAAAGTGGCCAAAGTGGTTTTATATAATGATGTATTTGTTGAGCTTCAAAAAGTTGAATAAAAAATGTAAAATGGTTTTCATGCAAGTCATCCATTGTTGTTGGCTCGAAATGTGGTTCTATGCTGCAGAGGATGAAATGTTTTCATTGGAGTGAACGGGAAGAAAATTACTAGATAAAATGAATGAGGTTCCACCGGTGGATTTTTCCCAGCACAAAAGGTTCAAATCTAATCACACAAAATTGCTGTACAGAGGAACAGCTTGCACTCTCTGCCTCGCACTCCTGGACATCAAATTCAAAGGCTGAAAATACTTGCAAGGATTTGAAGGCATCACCGCAAACTTACCTGAGAGGGGGAGAGTGGGTGGGTTTGGCAAGTATCTGGGGCTTCTAGGCCACCGAGCAGTAGGATCTCATTTTCTTTCGGCTGGTGGACATTCAGCAATTCGACGAGCTTTGGCAGGTCTGGAGACACCGATGCCAATTTCTGTGGAGACATGCCGAGCACAGAGACAATGCTAGATGGTCAAATTCAAAAAACAAAAAACTTTTCTTCTACGGATTTCAAAAGTGGGCCTAATGTGTTCCCTGTGGTTCCAACTCAGAGACACATGAAACTCTTCCTGTGAGAAGTCTTGAGCGATGTGGGATGCTTATTGATCGCTCACCACTGCCACCACCAGCTGCAAAAGGCTCCATATTATTTAAACAAATCAACCCTCTAATTCTGGGTAATGATTTTGAATCCATGGCAACTGAGCCAATGATTATATGATTATATGTCAAATACAGAGAGTAGGGTTACTGGGAGATGAAAAGTGGCTGGGAAATATAAAGGGCTGGAGGAGGGAAAGAATCATTCTCACCTTGATGCTTTTGTCATCTCGATAGTCCGTTTTCTGAGCGTCCAGATTTACAAAACAGATCTGAGAGGGACAAAAGGAGGACAAGACATTAAAGTGACAGTGTGAATAGGGGTGATTATGCCACAGAAGCTGAGCAGGAGTAGGGTACAAAGTGTCCCAGATGTCTGATGTGAGAGTGCTGCAAAGAAGAAGTTACTGCTTTGTCTTTCCCAATGCACAAACCCTACAAACCAGACAGAATGATAGCTTTCCTCATGACTCAACTACAGCAGCCGTCTGTTGCGCCTGAATAACCACTGTAAGACACTGTCCCTTATTGGCAGAGCCCTTTGTAGTGTCTTGTCTCTCATGGGCTGCTAACAGCGGGTGTACATCAGCAATGATTTGCTTTCCGTCTCTGTCTCTCTCTTTCCGCTTTCCTCTTCCTTTGTCTCCACTCCTTCACTGTGCTGCTGTCACACCCTCTGCCTCCTTCTCCTCCCATCTCACCCACCTTTGCCTCTGGCTGCAGGTTTTATGGTGTGTGATGGAGTCCTCTTGTCAGTGCTGGGAGTCTGGGACTGTCCGCTGGCTGCTGTTTGACTCTGCAGCGAACAGCCTCTCATCTGAGTTGGCAGAGCCAAGTTAGCCTTGTGTGGCTAAATGGATAAAGCACGTCACCAGCAGCACGTCTGTGTGCTTTGGGAGAAGTGGCATATTTGAGTCTCAGTCACGATCACATAAATTTTGCTATATGTCTAACTGAATGCTACCATGCTTGTCGTTGCTAATCAAACCTGATGTGAGTCAGTGAAGCAGTCTCAATCTTTTCAATGCGAAACACGCACAGGTGGAATCCCGCTGTCTCTCTTTTACCTCTACCACCTCCATATCTGCTCTGCCTGCTGCTATCTTCCCCCTTTTTTCCCTCTCTAGACCTGCGAAAAATATATATAGTTTCAAATAATCACATCTTGACACACATCGTTGTTTGAAATAATTTCCCTTGATCTACCTGAGGCGTGCTTCTTTCATCGAGCTAGGCTTCTAAACAGCCTCAGCGCTTGTGAGATAGCATATATTTTCCATGATTTTCATCTTTTTCTTCTTTCATCTGTGTTCTACTCAACAAGATTCATATCCAGAAAGTCATGTCAAGGTATAGACGCCACAATAGATCTAGTGTCAGTATCTGTGCATTGTGTGCTCTTTACTACTTCTTCTTTTAAAACCATGTCATGTCTGTCTGCTCTCTTGCTGCAGATTTGAAAGTGAACAAATAGGTCAATATACTCACTGGTGTAGATTTTAGGAGAAATGCAGGGGACACATCCACCTTGGTATTTAGAACATATGCATTTGTTCTCCCCAATAAAAACATAAACAGCAGTGGACTTTTGTTTTGACTTAACTGAACATTTAAACCATACATTTTTGCACAAAAATTCACCAGAATGCAGGTGAATGAAGGGTTTGACACTCAAAATTTTTTGGCAGAGGACCCTAAAGCCCCCAATTCCAATGTGTCCCCCTAAGTTGAAATGAAACCTGCACCCTTGAAAATACTAAAGAATTTATATTTCAAAATTAAACCATAATTCTGCACTTTGCATATTTCCCTTCCTTTAGAAGATAATCTGGGCGTCCTCTATGAAAGTAAGAGCTCAGATTAGGAGGGTACGATACAAGGGAGCAACAAAATGTCCTTCAGCTAAAGTGGTAATGCGGCACATTCAAAACAAGCCAATGTCCCCCTCACCTCCAACCAGTCAAACGCAATATTTTCCAAACTATTAAGTCTAATGTGATGAAAAGTGTCGCTTGAAAATAGAGTCAGTCGAGTATAAAAAATGGGATGTCAATCACAGCTGACAACGACAGAATATTTGAAAAGGTTTCCCTGTCTCACCCTGATCAAACCATACATTTTTTTCATCTCCTATGCCCTTCATGGATGGCATGTGTCACCTATAACATTTACCTGAATACCAGAAGCTCCAACACACCAAAACAGTTTGTTCATTTGCTTGTCTGTTGTTCAGATCACTTTACCGAGTGTGATGAGGACCTTTTTGCCAGAATAGCTGTTAAATGTCAACTGCATACACACAGGACATGAGATTATTCTACATCATTTATTGAAGCCAAAGACAATAGCCTGATTTTGCCACTTGCTGACCTCAGTTGATAAAAATATGGCCTTTAAATTCTGTTTTTTAATAATTCAAGAGTTCGTACATGCTATTGTTTGTGTTTTTGACAGCACGGAATAATAATTTTGAATTTTATTTTGTTCTGTATCTGGATGCAGATATCTGCCCTTTATCTAAATGCTAATGTGCTAAAGCAAAGAATCCCCTCATGGCTTCTCTTCTACACTAGAAAGCATGAACAAGCACCAGCCTACAGAGTTCTAATTTGGTATTTAACAAAATTTTACTTTTCTATAAACACCACAAAATATAAATAAGAGGTTTGGCGCCCTTGCTCAGGAGCACCTCGGCAGTATTCGCTCGCACCAATATTGGAAATCATCCCAGAAAAAACTGCAAAGACACCTTCCCCCGCCTGCCAACACATCGCCTGCAGATAACACACAGTTTGAGGAAAAGCGAGGCGAATGATCCACGATTTTGACCTTGAGAAGGGTTGAAGTAATTTAACCCCATCAGACGGTAAGAGCCGAGAGGCAGTTGTTCTAAATTTGGGACAGCAGAGGACCGTCTAGTCATCTATGGGGCCATATGTGAGACGAGCCCAGGGACACGCTCTGATTCTATCAGACATACAAGAACGACGAGCGCTTGTGCATCAGCCTGTCTTCGAAGGACTGACCATGTAAACAATAGTTGAGAAATACAAAGAGGGCGAGAGAAAAACAAATACAGAGACAGAGAGGGTGAAAATAATAGTTCGATGTGTGTGTGGATAAATTGATACCATGGAAGTGTGGTGATACACTGAAGGGCGTGAATAGTGCTCCAGAGGAGAGAGACAGCTGGTCTTAACACTGTCAGGAGGAGTAGGGTTGACTCATAACTGATCTTTTTCGTTTAAAGTTTAGACAACTAAAGCAACACAGTTACACCTGCAATAACTGATTGTTTGACCACTTGGGGGCAGCAGAAACAAGCTGTGAACTGTTAGCCAACAGTTGCAGCAGATACAGGGCGTAATTGGAGTCATGTCTCTGTCCACTTGATAAATGTATGATAAATATTCGAACTTCTTTAACTCCTGGTTTGGTCTCCACCACACTCGAGAGAAATATCTGGCTTGTTAGCTGCTAAATGTTCCACTATGTTCACCAGCTATAGTCACTAACTTTGTCTGTTTGCTGTGTGGTGCTCAGCACATCGTTGTTCTTTAGAGCTTAATTGCCAAAACAGCTGCAACTGGAAACAACGCTCGCTATGGGAGTGATAAGACTGAACCATAACAGCTAAGTTGCAGGCTCAAAAACCAAAACGATGAACTTCAAGATATTGTAAAGCTTGCAGAGTCCTGGATACATCGTTACGAACTACACCTTTCACATAAAAGTAATCATGTGATCCACTGTAAAGTACTGATTATACTATCATTTAAGGGGACCCAGTATGCTAATTTTCAGGTTCATAGTTGTATTTTGGGTTACTACTAGAACATGTTTACATGCTTTAATGTTCAAAAAACACATTACAGTATTTTCTTCATATTGTTTGTGCTGGCACACCTGTATTCAGCCTCTGCCTGAGATGCTCTGTTTTAGCGCCTGCTCTAATTGGTCAGCATTTGCGGTTCTCAAACCAAAATCTTCACAGCCTGACATATCCCAGCAGGAATATTACACAAAATCAGGGAGAACGTTTCCTTGATGTTAGCATGTAGCTACATACATCAGTGTAAATCTGTAGTAATGCCTGCAGCATATGGCTTTATAAAGAAATTCGTCCCAAGCTGACGTCCGCTTGCATCCAAAGTAGAAAAAACATTGGAAACAGAATCTTGACCTGAGGAGCTGGCTCTCCTGTGCTGGTTGTTTTGCTTCCCCAAAGTACAAATCTGTGCATTCCTGACTGCACTGACCTGCAAACACTGCTTATGCTTGGGTGTTTTGTCCTTAGGGTGGACCAAGCTTCTGTCTCAGTGTGCTACTATTGTTGAATGCACAGGGATGTGGTGTTTGTCGAAGTTTCAGAGTTTTTCAGATTCTCCTGCAACTTAAGGAATGACAATGTTGTTTCATTTTGCTCACAGAGATTACTTTTACATACATTTACATAATTATTTAAAACTCAGATCACATTAAAGAAAAGCATAACAGGTCCCCTTTAAGATTAAGGACTGTAGTCGGGGTCAAAGCCAAATATCCTCATTATAATTTTATTACAGCAGTACAAGATCATGATGCTTCGCTAATAATGACGCTAATAATATATATCATCTTACTATATAATGACGAAAACTCTATCTGTGTCTCTGTTCCACGTTTTTCTCCTCACTGACTTGGTCAGTCCATGTGAAATTTAGCACAGTGGTAGAGGGTCATGGGAGGATGCGAATGAAGCAATATTACATCAATTGGCCAAAAGGGGAGCACTATAGCAACCGACTGAAATTGCAAACTTTGAATGGGCATATCTCATGCCCTGTATGTCGTAGAGACATGAAACTTTGCACAGACATGCCTCTTCTCATGAGGAACAAATTTGCCTCAAGAACCCATAACTTCCGGTTATATAGATTTTCCGCCATTTTGAATTTTTTGAAAAACACTTAAAATCGAT